TGTAGCGCTTTCTTGCCTGGTGGTAATTCAGCTAATTCCCACGTCTGATTTGACATAAACGAGTCCATCTCATCTTTCATGGAAGACTCCCACTTGACTGAATCCTCCACTTGCATTGCTTCATCATAGCACTCTGGTTCACCATTGTCAGTCAGCAATAAGTAGTGCAAAGAAGAAGAATACCGTTGGGTTGGTTTAGGAATTCTGGATGAGCGTCTCAGTTCTGGTGTGCCTGGTTCTTCTTGAACTGCTTCAGGATTGATCTGAACATCATTTCTAGAAATCTCCTCGAACTCAGCAAATTCCTTTGTTTCAGCTTCGGTATTGGAGCTACTTGATTCTACAGTTGACCTGTCTTTGTACATCACATTCTCATTGAAAATAAGTGTGAAAGGTTTATTTCTTTCTTTCTCCAAACTTCCTCTGGTATTCTGCCATCTAAAGGAACTGAGGGCCCACGGTTGATCAAGTAAGCTGCAGTGTTGATAGCTTCAGCCCATAGAAATTTGGGCAATCCGGCATGTATCTTCATGCTTCTGGCACGTTCATTCAGAGTTATGTTCATGCGCTCTGCTACGCCATTATGCTACGGTGTCATGGGAATTGTTGTCTCCATCTTGATCCCATTGTTTGCGCAGAAATCTATGAATCTTCTATTTTTGTACTCTCCTCCATTGTCAGACCTCAACCGCTTGACTTTCAAACCAGTCTCATTTTCCACCATGACCTCCCATTTTCTGAAGGTATCAAAGACTTCTGATTTTTTCTTCAGAAAATAAACTCACACCTTCCTTGTAGAATCATTGATGAATGTGACATAATATAATGAGCCTGCAAGAGATGGAACTGGAGATAATCCCCATATATCAGTATGAACCAACTCTAAATTTTTATCCTTGGGTGTCTTACCAATCTTTGCAAAGCTGACTTTCTTTTGTTTGCCAAAGATGCAATCCTCGCATAGTCCGACATCTACATTCTTTAGATCCGGCAACTTCCCCTTTGACAAAAGTGTCTTCATCCCTTTCTCGCTTATATGGCCAAGCCTTTGGTGCCATAGGTTTGATTTTCCATCAGCATCTGCTACTGCAATGATATTCTCTAAATTTGAGGTTATATAGAGAGTACCAGTTTTCTTACCACGAGCAATGACGAGTGCTCCTTTGGTAATCTTCCATTCACAGCCTGAAAAGGTTGTACTATATCCTTCTCTATCAAGCTGTCATACATAAATCAAATTCCTTTTGAGGCCAGGAATATGTCTCACTCCTGTCAGCTTCCAGGTGGTCTAGTTTGGCAACTTTAATCGGATGTCTCCTTTTCCGACGATCTTTAAGGTTTCATCATCGGCTAGATGAACCTTCCCAAAATCACCAGTGACATAGTTCTCCATGATTTCTCGACATGGGGTGAAGTGGAAAGATGCCCCTGAATCCAAGATCCATGATTCAATCGGAGTGTTGACGCTTAGAATCATGGCATCACCTGTCTCTTCTGTCATATTGGCAGATTCCTGTGCACTGGTATCTTTCTTCAGTGCTCGACAAACTCTTTTAAAGTGACCCTTCTTGCCACAATTATAACAGGTAAAGTCTTTCTTTCCTGTTCTTGATTTGCCCCTTCTGGATTTCGATCTGCCACGATTTGAATTTCTTTCTGAAGTTCTCCCTCTAGACTCCGTGTGCAAGGCTGAGGAGGTTGATGCTTCACCTGATTCTCTCCGTCGAATTTCTTCGCTCAGTACCAGATCCCGAACATCTTCGAATTTCAATTTACTATTTCCCGACGAACTACTGTAACAGTAGCATTCCAACTATCTGGTAGAGATGATAAGAGAATTAAAGCTCGAACTTCATCATCGAATTCAATTTCCACTGAACTCAACTGGGTTGTGATTATGTTGAGTTCATTTAGGTGTTGTGCCATCGATGCCCCTTCCGTCATCCGCAAATTGAATAATCGCTTCATCAAGTGCACTTTGTTTGAGGCTGATAGCTTCTCATACATACTGGAGAGAGCCGCCATAAGACCCGCCGTGGTCTTTTCCTTTGCTATGTTGAAAGCAATATTGCGGGATAACGTCAGTTGGATAACTCCGAGGGCTTATCTGTCGAGAAGAGCCCAGTCTCCATTCTTCATGCCCTCTGGTTGCTTTCCTGAGAAAGGTTGATATAGATTTTTCTGGTACAAAAAATCTTCGATCTGCATCTTCCAAAAGCCAAAGTCCGCACCATCGAACTTTTCAATTTTCACCTTCCCTCCGTCTGCAGCCATCGCTCCCACTCGAATCTGGTTTCGTTTGGATCGTTTTTGACAATTCTTGTGAACCACCGTGTATTAGAACACCTCCGTCGACAAACTCGTATAGCCGACAAAATTTTTACTATTCATGAAATTCACTATTCACGTAAATAGTAATAAATAGTAACCTCGCAAAAAATTGACAAAATTCACAACCAAAAGCTCTAATGCCATTTGTTAGGAAATAAACCGAGTACAAGTAATTTCCCTATAACCAGATTAGTGAGAATGCGAAATAAAACCGGAAAAATAATACCCGAAATTGATAACGGAGTTCAGCCAATTTTGCTTACGTCTCCGGACTGCTGCAGATCTTTTACTAAGAGATAAAATTTACAGGTGTTTACAAAACACTCATTACTCAGAAGAAAGCTCTCTAGTATTGGGAGAAAGAAATGATTTTTGGGATGGTTTTGAAGCTAAATGAGCTAGGGTATTTATAGTTGAAACTTAGGGACTAATCTTTGAAAATACCCTACAGTGCAATGACTAAAGTGAATTTACTCATTCTTATTTTCAACAAACATCTACCAAACTTTGAAAAAACATTTTTCAAAAAAACATTTATCAAACTTTGAAAACCATTTTCAAAGTTGGTTGCCAACCTTTGGACTTTTAACAGTCAGGAGATTTACTCCATATTCCTGATCTGAAAGAGGTTTTCTTTTGGTATGACCACCTCCCATTGGAATCGAAGAAATCATCACATAGGTTCCAGGAAGCAAGGATGACTTCTCTATATTCCTAAACTTCGGCCTCATGGATGAACTTGTTACGCCTATTCCAAATATTCCAGAGCAGTACAACTAAGCGTGCCAGTCCAATGGAGTCAAATTGAGTAGCCGCCCAAACCAACCAATTTTTGCAGGTGCTTCCTTGCCACTCGAAAATATCATTCTTTGGACCCGAGGGTCTTGCCTATGGACAGTCTTTAAGGGCGTGGATCAGAGTTTCTACAGTGTCTTTATAGAATGGGCACCACCCTTCAGATAATCGAGCTTGAGCGAGCTTCTCTCATATTGGGACTGTGTTGTGGCAGATTCTTCATCCGAAAATCGTCATTTTTGGAAGAATTGGGATCTTGGTAAGCGTTTTCCAAATTGTTTTCATTATCCCTCGGGATCTCTTATCGGAGTAAAAGCCACTTGTAACCTGATTTAGCTTAATAACAACCAGTTGAGTGATGGGTCCATATTATTTTGTCCCCGGTGTTGGCGCAATCAAAATATCGAGCACCTTGTCCACGTATTCTGTGAGAAGGGTCCTCCAAACCAATTGTTTACCCCACCTAGTAACTCTAGGAAGCATGAAATCAGAGCATTTAAAAGGATGAAGGCCATTATCTGCATAGGATTTCGAACAAATAGGTGAGGAATCTCCCTAAGAATTTCCAAAGAACTTCTTTTGACTTTTAAATCTAATTCTCCAAAAGAAGCTTTCCTTTAGCCCTTCCTTAGCCTTGAAAATGCTTATGCATGCATTTGAAGGCCGATCACCAAGCTTTGCTTCTAGAAGACTTTGGTTGGGAAAGTACTTTGCTTTAAGAACCTGTCTTGCTAAGGACTCCGGGTATGAATAATTCGCCAAACTTGATTACCCAGAAGCGTCAAATTGAAAAATTTAAGGTCTCTAAAACCTAATCCACCTTCCTTCTTGGATTTACTTATTTTCTCCCACTATACCATCGCCCACCCTCTTTTATCTTGTTTGCCTGACCACCAGAATGAGTGAATCTGGGAGGTGATATCCTCATTAATATCCTCCAGAAGGAGATAACAGAACATGACATAAGTGGGAATAGCCTGAGCAACCGATTAAAGGAAAATCTCCCTTCCTCCAAACGACAGAAAATTCTTTTTCCATCCTTGGATACACTTAGAAGTTTATTTATCTTTTCTTTCCCACCACAAGCGGGAGCCCAAGATAGTCGCCCTTACTGGTTAGCTTGTTCTTACATGTGACTTAGACACATCCATGTTCTTTCATTTTACCTAAAATTTGTTTTAGTTTCTTCTTCTTCATTTTAATCTTTGGTAACACGAGCACTATCTAAAATGAATGAAAGAAATTTATCAAATATATATATATATATATATATATATATATATATATATATATATTTAAGTATCATATATGTAAAAGTATATATAAGTATTTATGTCTTCTCAAAAGAGTGTTATTTCATAGATAATCTTCTAAATAGGTTTTCATCCTATTTTTGTTTCTCAATTAGTTTATGTGATTTTAGGTTTTGGATGTGATAATACTCCATATTTATCTACAAACAATGAATAAAAATGTCAGCAACGTTTCTTTAACAAATCCATGTATTTGTTTTTAGAAAAAGGTTGATTGTGCAGCCATCCCATATGATACCACAAGCAACAACTATAATTAAATAAAAGGGCAGCACAAATAAAGAATCAAATTTGTATTTCAATCCCCACGTTACATGCCAGACCTGGAAGCACATGTACCTTAATTTAACTATTCTTTTTCCTATATTTCCTTCCTATTACTCAATCTCCAATTTGTACAAATATATAAACAACATACATATTATTAAATAACAAAATACTTATGATATTATCAAGTTTTCTTGTCTTCAAATATTTATAACTTGCAAGTAATATTTTAATGCTCCTGTCTAAAAATTCAAGAAAATAATAAAAGCTAATATATGTACGAGTTCAATAAATAGACAAAACAATGATGTAGAAATGGAAATAAAAACTAGTAATTTCTTCTTAAACTTGGCTGAGTCAATCCCCAAGGGCATGGGGCGCTGGTACCCGTCGGACAAATGGTTTTTAGTTCAATGAAAATTTGATTGATTGGTCAGCCCAAGGCCAGAAACCTTGCTGTTCATCTACTCCATTCAACATATGCCATGTCAGGCTCGAATCATCGTGAGCCACTCGGTCAAGTTTCAGGTCTAATGGTTGAGCCGCGGGCCTAATGGACGAAGCCCTCAATGTTGTTCTCGAGATATCTAAGTTCACGTCACGGCTGTCCTTGCTTCCATTAATGCTACATGAACCCTCGTTTTCGTTCTTGGTTTGGGTTTCATTTGAATCTTTGTTCTTCAAAGACAATAACTACACCAAAAAGAAACAAAAACGAAAAGAAGAATCAAACCTCGATTTAGATTGCGGCCATAGATGTAACAAATGATATTATAATCCGATTGCAGAGAATTAATGTTATATATGATTAAAAAAAAACTGCAACTATGTCTACTTGCTGCTGTCTGACACTGGCACTTTAGAGTAGTTTTGATCAACTGATGTAGTAGCCTAGCAGGAACATTAAAATAAGGACTTTGATGAATTTGATGAACATTTGTTAATCCTAGAAATCAAAAACCCTAAATATGAACAACTGTGTTAGATTTTATTAGGGCATATGAAGGTGAAGATCTTGTTTAAGAAGCCAATTAATTTACCTCTGCGGTAAGTTTGTTGTTTTGAGCTTGAAGGGCATGGTTGTCAGCTTTGATTGCTTCAAACTGTTTCTTCAAAGCATCAAAATCTTTTTCCAGTTGCTTGTTCTTACATCTGGCCCTCCTGTTCTGAAACCAGATCGCAATCTGCCTTGGTTTTAACCCTATTTCCTTAGCCAGATGCAATTTTCTGTTGGGATCAAGCTTGTTTGACAGCTCAAAACTCTTCTCTAAAGCCCTCACTTGTTCCGTGTTGAGCCTCTTCTTCTTCTCCCCGTGATGCGATCCATCGTCAGACAATTCATCATCTCCATTTCCATGGCCGCCATGCAGCAGCACTTCCTCCAGCTTTCCGACACCTGAGAGAAAGACACATAAACACACACACATATGGATAGTATAAACGGAAAAAAAAAGATGGATCAAGAGACATACAACTACCATGGAAGAGTTGAGGAGGGGAAGAAAGGAGGGAATAAGGGGAAGGGAGATGGTCGAGGTTTTGATCATGGTGGAGGGTTTGAAACATGAAAGGATGAGGAGGGAAGGCCATTTCAATGGCGATAACTCAATTCATTCATGCACTTGGAATCTCAAAAGGGTTCAAGGGAGAGACAGTGGGGTATGATTTATATTGGATTCACTCTCTCATATGACAGCTTATAAGAACAGGACATTGGAGGGGCAGTGATGGGTTCGAGGGTCTGAAAAGCATTTTCTAGGGTAAAAGTTAGACTCATTTACAGGGACGAGAAAAAATTAAATATTGATAGGGTCAAAATATTAGATTATTTAAGAAAAATATAAAGAATTGTTAGATATTTAAATTCGAAATTCAGCATGAACAAACGACCTTAGTGATTAAGGGGATTGTTGTTATCCTCGAGGTCCCGAGTTCAAGCACTGTGAATGTAGGAATATGATTGTTCATTGTCAAATAGTTGAAAGTCTTTTAACATATACTATACTTTATTCAACTTAAATTTAAAATAAAAAAACTCAAAATTCACAAGACAACTTCTAATTTATCTAATATTTAAACTTATAATGACTTAAATTATAATTAGACTAAAACTTTGAGAACACATACTTATCATTCTTTACTTCGACCACTATTTGATTAAATATTTCATAAATTTTTATGTTTTTTAAATTTAAATATTTACTTTTACATGAACCAAAATACTATTAAACCAAAATTATATCGAATATATAAATTTTAATAGTGGTTGGGGCCCCTTGGGCCCTAAGGGAGCTTCGTCCCTACTCATACATAGTTAATATCAGAGGCGTCAATTTCTCTCTCTCTCTCTCTCTCTCTCTCTTTCCCATACAAATTTTGGAAGGAGATACGTTATGCCACGTAAACTTTAAACACAATAATTTTAGCTTGTTTTTAAGGATTATCTTGTTTGAACTTAGTCATGCCATGAACTAATCTATTTGGTGTTGGATTTGTTATGATTGATGTTTTATTTCATTTTAATGGATGTTTTTTAGTATGTTTAATGTTGTTTTGTTCACTGTTTTAACTTTATGTCATGGTAATGTAAGAGCTTTTGAGAGATTGACATTTGTCATAGCCTAACATGCTTAGTCATTGTAAGAGCTTTCGAGAGATAGTCATTTTCTAAGTGTTGATACCTAATATCAAGAGACTTAGGTTAGATTTACATAAACAAAGGAACTAATATGGGATGGTGAGGTTTTAATCTTCCTTAGAGATAAGGAGAGGGTTTTAATGGACTAAAAGGGATAACACTCAACCAATAGACTAGGTTCATAGTTTACACCGAGAGGTATTGATGTGATTAAGTTTATCAAGTTCCTTACTAGAGATAGCCTATGAACACTTTAGTAAATCCTGTCGGGCAACATAGGCATAGGGTACTCAGTCATCCAGTCATAGAATATTTTTTAGCCATAACAAGTCCAGCCATTTACTCTATAGAAGCTTGTTTGTGTGAGGTTATCAGTATATTTCTGTAGATCAGATAAATTCTTATCTTTACTTTACTTGCTTCAGTGTTTACAAAATTTCTTGCCACTGCATAATTTTTCATTTGGTCATACCATTTCTTGCCACGACATAAATTTCTACACTGTGCATACCATTTTATATTTTTACCTAATGACATCCTTTTGTTATAACATATTTTTAAAAACCCTCCAATCCCTGTGGAGACGATACTCACTCACTACTATATTACTTGGTTAACTGTGTATACTTGCACATAATTGTGTGCCACGACACTATCTATTTACACGCGATCAGGTACTCAAAAGTCAACCAAGAAAATGGACGAGAGCTTAGCCCAAATCGAGCAGGATCAATGAGACATGCAAGAAGAAATGAGAGATAGACTGAACAAGATTGAAGCTGATATGACGAGTTCACAACTCAGTTTACTAAAGAAAATAAAGGACATATATAAGAAGCACTCGACTGCTGACAAGGCTTTTGCAGATCAACATACATCATCCGCTCAATCCCTAACTCCCCAAGATGCTCGACTGGGAGTCTACTTTGCCAACCAACAACCTCATGTAGAACCTTCGAACTATCCGCATGTGTCAAGGGCAAGACGAGATGAGTTCGACTTGGAAGATTTGACATCGGATTTAAATGAAATGGCTGAGAGGGAGAAAACAAACAATGAAATCACTCAGCAACTCAAGAACTTGGAAGATAGAGTGAAATATATGGAGGCAATAGAACCATTCTATGGGATAGACGCCAGGAAACTAAGTCTAGCCCTTATCTTGTTCTTCCCCAAAAATTCAAAATGCCAAATTTTGAGAATTATGATGGGACAACGTGCCCTTTGTCACACCTTACAATGTTCTATCGAATGATGTCTGGCTATATAGAAAACGAGAAGTTGCTAATTTTTTATTTTCATGATAGTTTAATTGGGTCCGCTGTAAAATGGTACAACCAGCTAACCAGGTTGCATATCAAATCATGAAAAGATGTAGCAAAAGCTTTCACAGAACAATACCACCACGTAATTGACCTGGTGCCAGACCGTTGGACTCTCTAAAATATGGAGAAGAGACACAATGAGACCTTTAGGCAGTACATCCAAAAAGATGGCAAGACATAGCAACATAAGTTCAGCCACCGTTGCTAGAAAAAAAGGCTACTGTTATTTTTTTTAACACACTCAAGGCCCCATACCTTGGGCATTTATTAGGGAATGCAATAAATTTTTTTGCCGACTTGGTCATTTCAGGCGAATTAATTGAGAACGACATATAAAGTGGTAAGATAGACGGGGGAGAAGGGGTTAGAAAACCTATTTATAAGAGAAAGGAGAACGAGGTAATTAACATGAACACCTACAACAAGAATATAGCAAGCATTACAGTTGCCAACCAAGGAACTAACAAGGGAAGCACAAACGCAAATAAGGGACCCAAAAAAGGAAGTTACGAGAATTTCTTTCACCATAGTGTCGATATCATACTCTGAAATATATGCCTCACTGTTAGAGACGAATGTGGTACGACCCTATAAATTGCCTCCCCTTCAACTACCGTATCTTCACTAGTATGATCCCAACACCCGCTGTAAATATCACTATGGAATTACATGCCACAACATTGAGAATTGTATTGCATTCAAAAGGGTTATGCAAAACCTGATCACCATCGATGACCTAAAATTCAAGACACCCTCCACTACTAAACACCCATTGTCGAATCATGAGGATCAAAGAGTGATGATCTTTGTACAGAGCAATAGAAAGATGAAGAACATGGTCTCGGATATCCGATCCCCCTAGGCTATGTATTCAAGCAATTATGTGAGGCCGGTATGATCAAAGGTAGCCTAGAACCAAAGCCAGTTGAGTGCGAGTTATATTGTGGCTATCACCAAGAGGAGGGGCACGAGATTCAATGCTAGCCAGAGTTCAGAGGGTTGCTCTAGAGGATGATGGACAACCAGGAAATATAATTCTTTGACCAAGCTAAAGAAAAAAAAGAAATTGATGTGTATGAGGAATCAGAAGTGAAGTGTGGAGCAAGGAAACTCGTATCATAGTTAAACACCGAGCTAATAGTTTATCAACGACAAACCCAAGGATCGTGATCACGACTCCGGCACCATTTTCGTTCAAGGACACCCATCAAGTACCTTAAAACTAACTGCTCATGTATCAATTCCTGAGAAATTGGGTTCTATAAAGAAGATACAAGTGATTGAGAAGATAGAAGAAGTGAAACAAGAGCAACCAATCACCGAAGTAGTAGGTGAAATAGGTTATTTCATTAGAAGTGTGAGATATAACTCCCCTGAAACATCAAAGGAAGCCAACAAAGGAAAAAACGAAGGCTAAGGTAGCCGAGGTACCTATAATATTCACCGAGGCCCAGGAATTCTTGAGATTCCTAAAGCTCGATGAGTACAATGTAGTGGAGCAGTTACATAAGTAGCAGGCAAAGATCTCGATACTATATCTAATGATAAATTTTGAAGTACATCGTAACACCTTGCTGAAAGTATTAAACCATACATTCATCCCATAAGACATATCCCTGAACAAGCGCGATTGCATTATAGGACATACAATTACCGACAACTACATAATATTCACTGATGACGAGATCCCTGAAGAAAGAATGAGATCTGTCAAGACCTTGAACATCACCACTCATTATCACGGCCATATGCTGCTGGGAGCTAGTCCTGATTGATAACGGGTCTATACTGAACGTGATGTCATTAGCTACCCTACAATGACTACCTATCGATATCTCCCATATGAAATATTATCACAATATTGTCAAGGCTTTCAATGGAACACGAAAAAATGTAATGGGCAAAATAGAGATACTCATGTTGATCGAACCCATGGAGTACAACGTTGATTTTATGGTGATGGACATAATCCCACCTATAATTGCCTGCTCTGAAGGCCTTAGATCCACTCTTCTAGGTCGGTCCCTTCATCTCTACACTAGAAAGTAAAATTTTTCATCAATGGACAATTGATCAACCTTGGAGCCGAATAAGAAATTGTCACTTCTATGACAATCGATGCCTCGTATGTCAACACTAACGATGAAGCTTTGGAGTGCTATTTCAGGGCCTTGAAATTTGTTAGCGCAACCTAAGTAGTTGAAGGAAGTAAGATGCCACACCCCAAATTATCCAACTGCACCAAAATAATTATCAGACAAACTCTAGGAAGAGTATATAGGGCTGGAAAAGGTTTTTAAAGGAACTTGTAGGGGATAGTACGTCCCATATTCATTGAAATGAAGAATGACCATTTTGGACTCGAATATAAGCCCACGAATCAATAACAAGGCAAATAGAAAATGAGGAAGATCATATCAAGAAAGGCCAAGCTTAGAGGGGAAGACGTCCTTTGGGAACGTATGGCATTCCCTCTTTTAGAACACACTTTCAGGTTCAAGGGTGTATGACATGGAGCAACAGCAGACCAAAGCCCTAGAAGAGGAGGTGCAGATGAAAGAGCAAAGAATGTTTATTGAGGTCGTAAAGGGTTTATTT